AGCTTACTCACACTGTTTCACTTGGAAGCCAGTCCCTTTGGATATAGAGCATAGGAGAACTCATACAGCTAAGGACAAGGGGAAATAGTAAGCTTTGGCTTCCTACATTCACGGCACATTATAGTGATAAGATCACCTCGGAGCCCTTGTTCCCCTACCCTACAAGGCAGAGCGAACCCTGACTTGATTGCTGTTGGAACACTTGGAGTAGACCGTGGCTGGTGGTGACTAGGTCCAGAAGATGTACTTGTTGAGTTTAAATCTACATTGATGCTTTCTAGAGCCAGATGAGCACAGACTGCATGAGAAGCACATTTTCTCATTGACTCATAGGCATTGGCAAGGCCATCTAGCCCACCAGTTCTCCACACTGGCAATAAATGAACTCTAGCTTGTGAATCGAGAATATGGCAATGTATTCATCTCTTCATGGTGTCACCCCAGCTGGGAGGGATGGTTTTTAATCAAGCCACAACTATTGTTTAAAACCAGATTCACCTTGGCTTGCCCTGTGACAGCGCTAACCCTTGGGAAGAAGACAAATGATTGTAATGTCAGTGTTGCTGACAGATTTTCCTGCCTCTGCATTGTCACACTCAGGAAACACACATTGATGGCCAATAAGAAGCCTTGCTAAATTCCATGTAATTGTGCCATTTGTTCCTGATTATTACTCATAGAGGATATGTGTCTGAAAGTTCAGTTAATGTAAACTCTCTTAAATAAAACTTTGTTAAAAGGTAGACAGGGACTAAGATAAAATGTTTTTAATGAAAACATTGGTGACAAATTCAAGAGATCAACTATAAAAAATATAAAAAGTACCTAAAACTTGATTTTCCTGAGAACTTTAACTCTAACTAAAAGATATCTACTAATTCCAGTTCTTTTTGCTGCTGATTTGAGACACCTTCTTGAGGAATGCCACTTGAAAAATTCCACATTGCATTAATTGACTCTGAGTCACAGAAATAATAATGGTATATATCACCTTTTTAAGAATGGTCATGAAGTCAAACTAACCTTTGTACTAACTTGTTTGAATCAGTGAGATCTTTATATTGCTGCTTACCACTAGCAGTTTAATACCAAATGATGCAAAATCACTCGACATGTTCCTGGTCCTTTAGTTATGTCACAGTTGATAACATCGGACTGCGTGAGTACCTATGAGTCAGTGAGAAGATGCCAAAGCTCTAACATTCATCTTTTATACATGTTATCTTCCCTCTCCTACATACCATTCTTGATGACTTTTTGCCTTTTTTTAATCATTGAGGAAATGAAGCAAATAAATCTAAGAAACATGACTTCAGAACCAAGTGAGATAGCAATCTTTATTAGGTTTCAGAATTTAGCTTTGCACTTCTCATTTAGCTTTATTTTGTATAATCATACTTGCCGGGGCTGATGAAATTCATGACTGTAAACTGATGGGAGCTTTGTATGTGTGTGTGTGTGTGTGTGTGCGCACGCACGCGCAAGCTTGTGCATGTGTGGGTGCACATGTATGCAGAACATTGTGCAGGATGAAGGCCAAAGGATAACCTGTGATGTCATTCCTCAAGCACTATCCACTTTTTTAAGGGCATGGTATCTCATTTGCTAGGTACTTGCCAAGGGAGCTGTGCTGGCTGGTTAGCAAACCCCAGGGGTCCGCTTGGCTTTGCCTCCCCAGTGCTGGGATTACAAACTGTGCTACCTTTTTAAAGGAGTGCTGGGAGTTGAATTTAGGTCCTTGTGCTTGAGAGGAATGTAGGAATGTACTTTACGGACCAAGTTGTCTCTCCAGCTCCTTATGGGAACCTTTCAGAACTGCTTTACAAGATAGTTTTAGCCACATCATTATTGTCTGTCCTGTTGAAAGTATGCTGCAGAATTTTCTGTCATGTAACTGATAATTTCCAGATTGTAAAGCCAAGCTTATGGTGCTCTTCCTGGTAAGGTCAAAAGTAGGGTCTTAAAGGTTCTTTACCTAGCTGTTGTTACAAGGACAGAGAGGCAATGAAGCAGCGTTCTTTTCTTGAGAAAAAAAACTAGCAAAGGAACTACACACTGGAACATCATAAACTGCAAAGAAATTAAGCTTAAATCCCCTTTGGCGCCAACCTCTTAAAAATTAATTGAAAAAATTCATTGATACATGCTAATCGCACATATTCATAGGGTGCCGTGTGACAGTACAATACCTGTGTATGGTGGACACTCATCGGATCAGGGCATTGGTATACCCATCATTCTTGGACATTTATCCTTTCTTTGTGTAGAGAACATTCAAAAGGCTTCTCTACTAGCTATCATGAAATATTCAGTTAGTCATTGTAACAACAGTTATTTTACTGTGTCCTAGGATATCAGAAATTACCCCCTATTTAACAGAACTCATTAACCATCCACTTTCCTCCCCCTACCCCACCCTCCCAGCCTCTGGTAACCAGCATTCTAGTTGCTACTTCTATGAAATTAACTTTTTAACTCTCAAAAATATGTAAGATGTATTTTGGTTATTGTTGCATGCCTGGTTTGTTTGATGTGACTCTCCAGATCTGTCCACGTTGCAGCAAACCACGGAAGTTTATTCTCTTTTATCTGGCACCAATATTTCTGGTCCAACTGGTAAAGAACTCCCTGAAGACTGGTGTGACAGTAAGAGAGGTGAGCAGGATTTCGTTCCTGCACTTGTCCCAGGTGTTTTGGTCTCCTGGGAACCCTGTGTGTTGTTTATAAGCCTCTGTTAGAGGGGAACCTGCAGCTGTTTTACAGCATTCGTTCAGATGTATGAAAGTGAGAACCACTAAAACACTGAGGGAAGGTGATGTCCATGTTCAAAAGTTATTAACTTTCAGGTTAGTTTAAGTTGGAGGTTGGCCCTCTCTCTTACTTGGGTATTCCTTGGTGAAGTGGCTAATAGCAAGTGAGCCTAAGATCTTAAACACCCATCTCAGCTCAGCATTCCAGTTCTTGCAAGTCCTCAGAATGTTGGTTGTCCCTACTGACTGAACACCCCTTAGGTATATTCACCCAAAGAACACAGCCCTTTTATCCAGGATATAGAAATCACTGGTACTGTTGCTGACTAACGTATATCCTTGGATCTAAATAAGAGGTGTTTATAAGCATTTAATAATTTTTTTGGACTTGTTTATTTTCATTTTATGTGTATGAGTGTTAACCACCATGTAGGCACTAAGATTCTAAACCCTGACCTTCTGTAAGAGCAGTCGGTGACACCTAACCGTTGAGCAATCTCTCCAGCCCAAGTTTATAAGCATTTAACTCATAGCTCTGGGTTTTATCCACTAAGTTCAGGTCTGATTTCAAGAGAAACTGTTGACAAAGCTATTCATGGCAGTGAAAAATTCTGTATCTTTAATTTAAGCAACTGATAGCTTGAGCTGTTCCCCCTTGTGAATGTTTGTACATTTCCTGGCTTACTTGGAACTGGAATGATGTGAGATCAAAGATGACTAGAAACCCAATATTCAGTCTAATAAATGTTAAATGAAAGTGAAGTTCCACTTTCTGGATTCTGCTGTAACTGGAAAGACTGTGTCATTCACAACAAGATGAATTAAAACTTAGGAACAGCATGCCTTGCATATTCCAGATGTGGACAAAGGTACTTTGATATCACACAGCAAAGAGAAGGATAGCCAACCATTTTCTTCAGGGATAGAAAGGTATTCTTTGAATCCTGGTGGACATTTGCTGACTTGCTGGGAGCAACTACTCTCTATGTGCTATAGAAAAGTCATGATTTAGTTTCTTGTAACAGGGTAGTTTACAGACTGCAGATACCTCATTTCAGAGCAAGGGCACTCTTTGGATGATTATTGGTGATGGCTTAGAGACTGTACAGAAAGAGATCTAGAGGCAGTGCACAGATCAAGCTGGACAAAAGCCACAACTGATCTAGTGTCTGTTGTGGGCTTGGGTGGGGGTAATACATACACATGGTACAAGAGCCATGGGTTTTGCTTATAATCCTGGTGTCACCACCCCGGAGACCTTGAGCAAGAACCGCCTTCTCACTGGCCCTCAAATTTCTCATTTGATGTGCATATGTATGATGACTATGTTCTCCCCTCTCTCATGGCTATGTTCTTCTCTCTCTCTCTCTCATTCTCTCTCTCTCTCTCTCTCTCTCTCTCTCTCTTTCTCTGTATGTGTGTGTATCATGGCTATGTTCCCCTCCGTTCTGTTTCTTCTATCTTTTGCCTTAAGAGAAAAAGCACCTTGCTCACTTGATTCGTGTCACGTGTACCTTCTCTGAAGCCACCCTTAGTGACTATAAAGGTGTAACCTACCCTACTTCCTTTTTAGGGTCTTGTGAAATTAGATTCCAGAGACTATATGGGTATGAAAATATTTCATAAACTGCAAATACTGTATCAACAGTAAGCCACTTACTCTAAAGAGTAAGTCAAAGAAATTCTTTTCCTTTTAAAGAGCATTCTCAGAACATTCTTTTGGCTGCAGTAAAGGAAAATAAAATTAATATGATATTTTTATAAAGGATGAAGCTTAACATGTCTGCCTTGGAACCTTTCATCATCATCCTATGACTCTCAGGAAAAGACAGAATTGCAGAATTTTCTTTTGTTTTCTGTAAAAATACATAATCTTTTTTTTTTCTTTCCAGCCTCCTGAAGTCACGTTTAAGATTGGTACAGAAGATTTTTTTGGCTTGACTTTTAATTGAATCTTTTTTTTTTTTTCCAGATTAGAATGAAAAAAGGTCATTCCCAGTGCTGTGTGGTGTATTCAAACGATATTGGCTCCAGACATAGAGGATGAGAACTCTTAAACTTGCCCAGGGGGGGGTGGAAAGTCCTTATATATAGTGGTCTTCGTTCCATTGGTTTTTCTTCCACATGGCAATTTTAGTTAAAGGGCTGTGAAATCATGGATGGCTGCTGGGCATACTATTAAGGTGTGGAGGTGGCTCTGCATACCACAGAAGAAAAGCCCCATTACTGATCTCTGGCCTCTGCTTTCAGATCAGACTCCAACCCCTACGAGATTCCTGAAGAACTGTGAGGAGGTGGGTCTCTTCAGTGAGCTGGACTGCTCCTTCGAGCATGAATTCAGGAAGGTTCAGGAGGAGGAGAACAGCAAGCGGGTAGGTTGGCTTGGGTGGACACCTGGAGAGGTGCATAGAAACTCTGTGGCACTGCAAATTGCATTGACGCGCCCTTAAAACACTGTTTTTGAGAAGACAGGATCTTGCTGTGCACCTGAGGCTGTTCTCAAACTCAAAATTCTGCTGCAGTCTCTGGGATTTACAGGTGTGTGCTGCATGCCTGGTTACAACAGTATTTATCCAACTCTAAGTGTTTGTCTAACATTATTTGAAAAACTGATGAATCTTAAGTTATGGTAGCTTGCATAGCTCTTATAAATCATGGGGAAATAGGTATTTGAAACACTTAATTCAAGTTTTTAAAAAGTATTACCTGATTTTTAAAGATGTGTCAGATAAGCTCATAGGCTATTGCTCTTCTCAACCAGGTGATTTTCTTCGTTAAGAGTTTCACAGCGGGGCCTTCGTGGGCGCTATGTTCAGGAAACCAGAACCACATCATTTTAGGGGAAGAGAATGGATTTGCATCTGATTTTGGCCCAAGTTGCAACTGTCTGTTTTCTATAATCTTTCCGGTTATTCTCAACCAGATGCATAATTACTTCCTGTTCATGTTACCTGTGCAGATTATTGAACATCTGTTGTTGGTGAGAAAAATAGGTTAGCTACAGCTGTGAGTCACTTTATCAACATCAGTTTTTGTCCGAACCTTGCTAGAATTTTAAAATCGAGTCAGAAGATTAAAAGAAGGAAGCAGGGTCACAAGCAAATGTGACAAGAATGCTTTTCATTGCTCTCATATGCCATTACAGAATGCCCACGATGTGGTGAACCACACAGTAGACACAGTCCATGGACAGAAACTTACGATGTAGATGAGAGTCCCAAAGCGCCAGCTGTTCCATCTGGAGAAGAAATTTTAAAGGCTCTAATAATTTTCCTCTATGTGAAAGCCTTTGAATCTCCTCTGTGAAATTATAGTAATCCCTCACCACCAGATTTTTCATGTCATATTCACACATGATGATAGTTCAGGGTACACAGTATCCAGTTTGTGCTGCTTTAGGACTTTCTAAAGGTACACTTCCTGTGTACCCTGAACTATATGTACAAGAGGGCTACAAAATCTCAATCAGGTCATTTAACTTATTTATAACTAACTTACCATTTATGCTTAACCTTCCTTCCTACTCCCTTGCCAAATGGTATGTAGTGCCTGTCCCTGCTTTTCCAAGCACTTTTATAACTGTTGTTCTTTGCCAAGCAAAGAATAAAGTTCTGAGCACTTTAAAAAGTTAGCTTGATGAAACTTAGAAGATATAACTATATTTCATTGCAGTGTAGAAAAAAAAAATGCAAAGACCCATGAAAATAGCAAAGGAGAAGAGAGTCCTATCCAGCATATTTCCTCTGCTTGGGTAAAAACTTCAGTTCTTTTGGTCAGTTTACATATGGAGAAGACTGTTGAATAATCAGGATTATTCATTTCTCCAGATAGCCAAAGCTGGTGTTCCTTTCTGATAGAATGCTTTTAAAAGCATGGCCTTGATTTTCCTAAAGACAGTTCACCAAGCACATTTTCTTGTGGCCTCTGTTGGAGGTGTGGCTAAGGTATTCTCCATTGCATTATTCTTGACTTTCCACTGAAGCAGTATGTGAGCAGTTCTTGCAGATCTGAATTCCAGGAAATGGTTTGCTTCCCCTGAGGAACTGAAATATTTTCTGCCGTGGCCATGAGGATCATGTAACTGGTTATGTTTCTCTTTTTGCTCTGACTGCTAGGTTATCACAAAGCCAGGTTTATTGCTTCACTTTGAGAACTTTTTAGACCACTGCAATGAGCAATGTTTTACTTCCTCCACACGCCAGACTTTCAGTTCTGGTTTATATTTCCTCAGGTCTTGATTTTTAATTAAATAAAAATATTTTCATACTATGCATGTTTGATGAATTGTTTATCATGGGTTGAGAAGAGGTGACATCATTAAATTTTAAAAATTAAAATAATAGGGCCTGGAAGGATGGCTCAGTGGTTAAGAACACCGGTTGTTCTTGCAGAAGACCTGAGTTCGAATCCCAGCACCCACATGGCAGTTAAAAACTGTCCGTAACTCTAGTCCCAGGGGATCCGGCAGCCTCTTCTGACCTCTGCGGGCATTGCATGACATGGGTACGCTTACCTACATGCAGGCAATACACGCATACACATAAAATAAAAATAATAAAATTAAAAATTAAAATAGTGGAAGAAGCAACATTGAGAAGATGACAATAGCAGTCAGTGGCAAACCTGTATCTTCTGTTTAAATGTTGCTCATAGCCATGGGATGTATTTGTGTTGGGAATGTAGGTGGGAGATCCTGCAGCCAACCCTTGGCCCATGGTTTGGGCCTTGCCTCTCAGAACACCACAGTATGCAGTGGGGACTGGACCCCAGTCAACCTGTTGAGGCTTCCTCTTCTTCTGTTTTGTTCAAACTAAAGGGACCCAATCCAGCCTTGACTGGCCATTGTTACATGAAGGGCCATCTCAGTGACTAAAGCCTGGTGACTCATACAGAGGCAAAGTGGCTGTGTTGGTGGCTTACTCCTTGGCATTGCTATAGCAACCACAGGCCAGAGAATGTGCAGTGGGTGGAGTGCCTCCTCAATCTGACACTATGCCCTTACTTCCCTCTAGGACCATGATTCACCAGCTATCAGCATCCCTAAAGTCTGCCCACTTAAACTCCTACCTACTTCGTTTATTCTTCGGGTGTTTTTTTTTGAGACAGGGTCTTCCTGTAGCCCCAGCTGGCCTGGAACTCGCTATGTAGATCAGGTTGTCCTGGAACTCACAGAGATCTGCCTGCCTCTGCCTCCGGAGTGCTGGGATTAAAAGCATGCTTTACCATGCCCAGCTTCATTTGTTCTTTTGGTACTTAAAAAGTGAAGACACAAGTGAAGACTCAGGGAAGTCCTTGTTATTTTTCAGTTAGAGTATCTTTCTTTCCTTTAGCTATACATTCAAGTGGTGATTTCATTTTCAGTAAGGTTTTTCTCCCCAGTGCTAGAGATGGAACCTAGGGCCTCATGTACGACAGACAAGCACTCTGTCACTGAGGTACATCCTCATCCTCGGTTATTTCCTTTTAACTCTACAGCTCTAACTCTTCTGATTCCTTTGCCTGAGTCTTTCTGTGTGTGTATGTGTGCATGTGTTCCTGTGGGTGAACACAAGTGTGAATGTGAAGGCTAGAGTCTGATGTTTCTCCACCTTATTTTCTGAGACAGAGTCTCTTACTGAACCTAGAGGTCATTGATAGTCTGGCTGATGAATGAATGAACCTCCTCCCCCCACCCCCCACATCAGCACTTGTCTTTCAGATATATACTGCTGCACCTTGCTTTTACATGGGTGATTGGGCTCTGAACTCAGGTCCTCAGACTTGCATGGCAAACACTTTACCAGCAACCATCTTCCCAACTCTTATCTTTGTCCAAGTCTTTTAATAAAATACTTGTGCTGATTCTTCAGTAAGTTTTTATAAAATGGAAGGTATAGTCATTTATTTGGAGAATTTGGTTTTAAAAAGTCCTGTGTTTCACCTTTAAATTTCTTGTTGCAGGTTCAGAAAATCCCATTAAAAAGTAAATAGAGAACTGATTCTTGCTTAGTCTCTGTAGCTATCAATAGAGAAAGTTCCATTTTCTAAACACTACCTTTAATTCTGACATTCTTAAATAATCTTAGTGTATATATAAAGGGACAGGCTATAGCAGGTTGTGTTTATAGGGAGAAGGCCCTGATGTTTGTATCAACATTACTCTATGGCAGGTAACAGATTCTGTTATTACCTCAGTTTTCAATACTAATATAAACTCTTTGTCTCATAGTTCTTTAGTAAGAAATTCCTGCCTTGGAAAAGCAAATTGTAACTTTCTATCAGGCATTATAAAGCTCAACTTGCCTGTGGCTTAGAATTCAGGATAGTTCATACCCTGAATCATGTAACTTTTGTTTATCAGTATCCATTCAGAAAAAATTTTAGGATAACCACAATATACCAAGAACTATCCAAGGCATCGACAAATATACCAGGGAATAAAGATAATTTTAAAAACAAACAAGTGAACAAATTTTACAAAGCCCTCAACTTTCAGATAGCTTACTTTCGGTAGGTCAGACAAGCAACGAAACCATGAGGAATGTATGCTGTGCTGTGTAGTTTAATGCAGAAGGGAAGGAGCCCAGGGAGGGCTACATGATCAGAGAGGGTATTTCTACCCAGTGGACATGAGAGCAGAGACCCAATTAGAAGGCCTGAGTCAGAGAAGCAGAGCTGTGAGAACAGAGAATATAAGTGTAGAGGCCTGAAGCTGCATGAGGCCTATGTACTGGAGAAACTGTAAGGAGAGCTTACAGCTAGAGGAGGGTGTGTAATAATCTTAGGGAGCTGAAGGTGGGAAGGCAGACCCAGGAGGGCCTCGAGGCCTTTAGAGGCATTGTTACTTTGACATTGAATAAGATGGGCATCTGCAGGGCCCAGACAAGCAGAAGGGTGATAGAATCTAATTCAGTGTTTTAGAAAAGTTGTTTTTTTGTTTTTTTGGAGATAGGGTCTCCCTGTAGCCCCAGCTGTCCTGGAACTCACTATGTAGACCAGGCTGGCTTTGAATTCACAGAGATTTGCCTGCCTTTGCTGGGATTAAAGGCGTGCGCCACTACACCTGGCAAGTTTTTTTTTTTTTTTTAAGACAAGGTCTCCCTGTAGTCACAGCTGTCCTGGAACATGCTATGTAGACTAGGCTGTCCTCAAACTCACAGAGATCCACCTGTCTCTGCCTCCCAAGTGCTGGGATTAAAAGAGTCCATCACCACACCTGGCTTAGAAAGATCATTTCGACTGCTGGGCTGAGAGTCAATTGTTGGAGACAGAAAGACATATTTAAAGAAGTATTGAGGAAAAAAATAGGTTAAAGTTGGTAGCATATTTGCTCAAAGTAGAGATGGAAGAGGTGGTGAGACTCTAGGTATATTTTGAAGATATAAGGCAGTAG